CGTAACGCCACCACGTGATTGAATTGTAAATGTTGCTGAGGGTATATACACTACACTATACACTACTAAGCAAGACATTATACACTACATGACTTTACACGACTATACACTACTATACACTACACTACAACTAAATACTACACTACACACTACACTACTATACACCACTACTATACACTACACTACTACTAAACACTACACTAAACACTACACTACGACTAAATACTAAACTAAACACTACACTACTATACACCACTACTATACACTACACTATACACTACACTACTATATGTTACACTACTATATACTACACTATACACTACACTACTATACACTACACTACTATACACTGCACTACTATACACTGCACTATACACTACTATACACTGCACTACTATACACTATACTACTATATACTACACTATACACTACTATGCACTATACTATTATACACTACACTATACACTACTATACACTACACTCCTATAAACTGCACTACTATACACTGCACTACTGTACACTATACTACTATATACTACACTATATACTACACTACTATACACTATACTATTATACACTACACTACTATACACTACACTACTATACACTACTATACACCACACTACTATACACTACACTACTATACACTACACTACTATACACTACACTACTATACACTACACTACTATACACTACACTACTATACACTTCACTACTATACCCTACACTATACACTACACTACTATACACTACACTATACACTACACTACTATACACTACACTATACACTACACTACTATACACTACACTACTATACACTACACTACTATACACCACTACTAAACACTACACTACTATATACTACACTATACACTACTATACACTACACTATACACTGCACTACTATACACTATACACTACTATACACTACACTACTATACACTTCACTATACCCTACACTATACACTACACTACTATACACTATACTATTATACACTACACTATACATTACTATACACTACACTACTATACACTACACTACTATACACTACACTACTATACACTACACTACTATACACTATACACTACTATACACTATACACTACTATACACTACACTACTATACACTATACTATTATACACTACACTACTATACACTACACTATACACTACTATACACTACACTAAACGCACAGCAACGTTTACAATTTTACTTTCTGACACACAACGACCGGTGAGTGCTGAATCGGTCACTAAGTTGTGCTCGTCGTGTTCACGTGACGCAAGCCTCGCTACTGATTGGCAGTGTCGGGTGGTGGCGGCTGGTTTTAGCGACACCACATTTCTATTTGCGCGATGCGACCCAAACAAAAACCCTTTCAATGCATTTGAATTGAGTTGCATGGAGATGCGTAGAGCACAGTCCAAGTCGCGTTGGCAGTGGTGGCGGTTACAGGACCATCGCAGGGTGGGAACATGCAAAACCTCACCAGAGCAGCAACAACAACAACAGATTATTCACGTGAGAGCCAGCCCAGAGCCTACTTCACACGGGATGAACAATGAACAGGGCTTGTGCACGTGTAAGTAGTGCTTAATTACACGGTCACACTCGCACAACAACCACAACCACAACAACCACAACAACCACCGTTCATCACGAAGTGGCGGTGACATCGCCACGGCTCCTGTGCCAGGCTTGCTGGGCTTTGAGGGGGACAGACCCAGCAGGTGCCATGGGTTGATAGATGATCGGCCGATGCACCCACTGTGCCAACTCTCTGCGTTTTATCCACGCGGCGCTCCGCTCGTTGTTGTGAGCGTCGCTCCTCCGCCCTACGCCGTTGCTGGAGGAGGGCGACTGCCTCCAGCCGCGCGGTAGCCTCACAGTGCACCTAGCCTGGCACTCGCCCGGTAGCGTTCTTCACGAGCCTGTGCCTCCACAGAGGCCAATCTTGACGCTACTGTTACTGGTTTTCATACATGTACAGACATAAGCCAACGTCTCCCATATAGCTTTAACAAATGCTGTGAGCGGGTAGCAGTACCTATGAAGGCTGGCACAGCACACGAGCGACTGGGTGGTCACACAAATACAAATATCCCCCGTGTAGTCTCTAACAGATCGTTGGGGCAAGTGCTGTTAATGATCAGCAGCCTTGAAGGCCGGCACGGTACGCGAGGGGGTGGGTGGCCAGCACCATGCCCGGCCGCCTTTGTCTCCCCATTAGCGATGTTTACACACCACACCAGGTACTTATTTGAGGCTGAGTCGACCTAGGGGAGGCCCAGGACCGTGACTGGTGTTGGCCGTGAGCGGGAATCGAACTCGGGTCGCCAGGTTCGTAGTGCAGCGCGCGAACCGTTACACTACCACGCCCGGACAGTGGCACACACAGTGACACACACAGTGAAACAGACAGTGACACAGACACACAGCACCACACAGTGACACACAGTGACACACACAGTGACACAGACACACAGCACCACACAGTGACACACACAGTGACACAGCCTCACACAGACACACAGCACCACACAGTGACACACACAGTGACACAGCCTCACACAGACACACAGCGCCACACAGTGACACACACAGTGACACAGTCTCACGCAGACACACAGCGCTACACAGTGACACACAGTGACACAGCCTCACACAGACACACAGTGCCACACAGTGACACACACAGTGACACAGCCTCACACAGACACACAATGACACACAGTGACACAGCCTCACACAGACACACAGCACCACACAGTGACACACACAGTGACACACACAGTGACAGCCTCACACAGACACACAGCACCACACAGCGCCACACAGTGACACAGCCTCACACAGACACACAGCGCCTCACAGTGACACACACAGTGACACAGCCTCACACAGACACACAGCACCACACAGTGACACAGCCTCACACAGACACACAGCGCCACACAGTGACACAGCCTCACACAGACACACAGCACCACACAGTGACACACACAGTGACACAGCCTCACACAGACACACAGCGCCACACAGTGGCACACACAGACACAGCGACACACACAGGCGCACATTGACACACAGTGACACACACAGTGACACAGTCTCACACAGACACACAGCGCCACACAGTGACACAGTGACACAGCCTCACACAGACATACAGCGCCACACAGTGACACACACAGTGACACAGCCTCACACAGACACACAGCGCCACACAGTGACACACACAGTGACACAGTCCCACACAGACACACAGCGCCACACAGCCACACACAGTGACACACAGTGACACACACAGTGACACACACAGTGACACACAGCGCCACGCCACAGTGACACACACAGCGCCACAGTGACACACACACAGCGCCACATAGTGACACACAGTGACAAACAGTGACACAGCGTGACACACACAGCGCCACACACAAAGTGACACACACACAGTCATCAGGGTGAACGGCTTACAACAATGGGATCTCTCGCCGTTCCATTCTGGTGCTTGCGTGTGTGTCTGTGTGTGTGCGTGCCTGTATGTCTGTGTGTGTACTTGTGTGTCTGTGTGTGTGCGTGCCTGTATGTATGTGTGTACTTGTGTGTCTGTGTGTGTGCCTGTATGTATGTGTGTGTACTTGTGTGTCTGTGTGTGTGCGTGTCTGTATGTATGTGTGTACTTGTGTGTCTGTGTGTGTGCCTGTATGTGTGTGTACTTGTGTGTCTGTGTGTGTGCGTGTCTGTATGTATGTTTGTGTACTTGTGTGTCTGTGTGTGTGCGTGCGTGCCTGTATGTGTGTCTGTGTGTGTGCGTGCTTGTATGTGTGTGTGTACTTGTGTGTGTCTGTGTGTGTGCGTGCCTGTATGTGTGTGTGCGTGCCTGTATGTGTGTGTGTGTACTTGTGTGTCTGTGTGTGTGCGTGCGTGCCTTTATGTGTGTCTGTGTGTGTGCGTGCCTTTATGTGTGTGTGTGTACTTGTGTGTGTCTGTGTGTGCCTGTATGTGTGTGTCTGTGTGTGTGTATGTGTGTGTGTACTTGTGTGTGTCTGTGTGTGTGTGTGCCTGTATGTGTGTGTCTGTGTGCGTGCCTGTGTGTGTGTGTACTTGTGTGTGTCCGTGTGTGTGCGTGCCTGTATGTGTCTGTGTGTGTGTGTGCCTGTGTGTGTGTGTACTTGTGTGTGTCTGTGTGTGCGTGCCTGTATGTGTGTGTGTGTATGTGTGTCTGTGTGTGTGTCTGTGTGTGTGTGTACTTGTGTGTGTCTGTGTGTGTGTCTGTGTGTACTTGTGTGTGTACTTGTGTGTGTCTGTATGTGTGTGTGTACTTGTGTGTGTGCCTGTATGTGTGTGTGTACTTGTGTGTGTCTGTGTGCGCGCTTTCTCATTGTTACATTGCGCCGCCGCCACCGCCGCTCTAAAAAACAACAACATCAACATCCACGCATTGTGCGACTTCCTCCTGCTCCCGCTCGTGGTTGCTCTCTGTGACCCCCCTCCCCACTACGTTCGTGTACCTGCCTGCGTGTGTGCGCCTGTACGTGCGTGTGCGCTTGTACGTGTGTACATGTGTACATGCGTGCGTGCTCGTACGTGCGAGCTGTTGGACACTCTTGGAGAGAGAGGCGATGGATTCGCATGCGCAGGGAAATCACAGCCAGCAGTTTTCCCCCCGAGCTCTGCGGTCCTACAGGGGGCTGTGTGGCCTGCTCCATTCACGAGCGCGTTGCGCGCATTGCGCGTCTCTCCGTGACGCTTGGGGTTCACGCTCACCAACGCCGGTGACGATCATCCGAACCGGTCCTGGCTCTCCGTTAGGTCGACTCGGCCTCAAAATCGGTACGTGGCGCGGGTGCGTGGTAAGCATCGCCGCTAGGGGAGACGGGCGGCCGGGCGTGGTGCTGGCCGCCCGCCCGTCCGCCCGCCCGCCCGTGCACTGTGCCGGCCTTCACAGGTGCTGCCCTGTATACGTCTGTGTGCGGGCGTCTCTCTCCGACAGGTGCGGTTCTCCCCGTGCGTGCGCGTGCGTCCCCTCTTCGCGTGGGACTTCGCTCTGCGCGCCGCTCGCCCGGGCCCCTGGGAGGCGATGGCTCGCGACCGCCAGCGCTTCCAGCGGCGAGTCCACGAGGCCGCCGCCACCCTGGAGCCGTGCCTCCTGCCGGCACGCAGACTCGCAGCCTGGGAGCGCTTGCAGCGGCAGGAGCAGCAGCAGGAACAGGAACAGCAGCAGCAGGAACAGCAGCAGAAGGATCAATGACGTCAGCAGGAACAGCAGCAGCAGGAACAGGAACAGCAGCAGGAACAGCAGCAGGAACAGGAACAGCAGCAGTAGGAACAGCAGCAGCAGGAACAGCAGCAGGAACAGCAGCAGTAGGAACAGCAGCAGTAGGAACAGCATCAGGAACAGGAGCAGCAGGAACAGGAGCAGCAGGAACAGCAGCAGCAGGAACAGCAGCAGCAGGAACAGCAGCAGTAGGAACAGCAGCAGTAGGAACAGCAGCAGCAGGAACAGCAGCAGTAGGAACAGCAGCAGCAGGAACAGGAACAGCAGCAGAAGGATCAATGACGTCAGCAGGAACAGCAGCAGCAGGAACAGGAGCAGTAGGAACAGCAGGAGAAGGATCAATGACGTCAGCAGGAACAGCAGCAGCAGGAACAGCAGCAGCAGGAACAGCAGCAGTAGGAACAGCAGCAGCAGGAACAGCAGCAGTAGGAACAGCAGCAGAAGGATCAATGACGTCAGTAGGAACAGCAGCAGTAGGAACAGCAGCAGTAGGAACAGCAGCAGCAGGAACAGCAGCAGCAGGAACAGCAGCAGCAGGAACAGCAGCAGCAGGAACAGCAGCAGTAGGAACAGCAGCAGCAGGAACAGGAACAGCAGCAGCAGGAACAGGAACAGCAGCAGCAGGAACAGCAGCAGCAGGAACAGCAGCAGAAGGATCAATGACGTCAGCAGGAACAGCAGCAGCAGGAACAGCAGCAGCAGGAACAGCAGCAGTAGGAACAGCAGCAGAAGGATCAATGACGTCAGCAGGAACAGCAGCAGCAGGAACAGCAGCAGCAGGAACAGCAGCAGTAGGAACAGCAGCAGAAGGATCAATGACGTCAGCAGGAACAGCAGCAGCAGCAGGAACAGCAGCAGTAGGAACAGCAGCAGTAGGAACAGCAGCAGTAGGAACAGCAGCAGCAGGAACAGGAGCAGTAGGAACAGCAGCAGCAGGAGGAGCAATGACTGCAGGAGCAGCAGGAACAGCAGCAGCAGCAGCAGGAGGAGCAGGAACAGCATCAGGAGCAACGACAGCAGCAGGAGCAGCATCAGAAACAGCAGCAGCAGGAGCAGCAGGAGCAGCAGTGGCAGCAGCAGCGGCTATTGTACAAGAAACAAACATCACAGCAGTCGCGGCTTTCCGAGTCACAGGGACACATGACCCACCGTGACCCCACCGTGACCCCACCGTGACCCCCCCACCGTGACCCCACCGTGACCTCCCCACCACCGTGACCCCACCGTGACCCCCCCACCGTGACCCCCCCACCGTGACCCCCACCCCCACCGTGACCCCACCCCCCACCGTGACTGCCGTCAGCGGAGAGAGGAGTGAACGCGTGCGAGAGAGACGGAGACTCTCTGGCAATGAGGTGGCGGCGCCGGGCTCGCTGGTCCTCGCCGGCACCCCCTCCCCCCCCTCCCCCCCCGGCACCATCGGCGCCACCCCCCCCCCCCACGGTGAACGTTTGCCGGACGTCGTGGGGGAGCCCGTTCTGTGGGGGGGTGGGACTGGACGGGATAATTGAGTTCCCGAGGGAGCGCCCAAAACGACTTCGAGCAAATTCTGTTACCTGTTGCCGGCAGGGGGGTGGGGGGAGCGAACCGTGGGGCAGCGGCAAGTGTGGCGGCGAGATGTTGCCTCCCTCGCCGGGTGCGCAGGAGGTCGTGGGCTCAATTTGCGACCCCGACGGCGAAGCCTGTTGCTCTCACGTTGGGAGTTTGCGCCTCTGTCCGGCCCGTGGTGACCGCGTGGATTTTCCCTCCGGGTCTCTCCGGGTTTTTTTCCCCTCCGCATTTTTTTTTTGTCGTATTCAGTTCTTCCTCCTCCCCCTCCCACACCTGCATACGTACGGCGAGAAAGAAGTTCAACAAACGTGCACGCGCGCGTTTAGACACAACGTCGCGCGTTGAGATTCATTGCCCGCTAGCTACAATTCTCCACGCGACGACGATGACGACGACGATGATGACGATGATGAGCCACTTCGTTGGGCGATCGCTCGCTAAGTGGTGCCTCGCCTGGTAAAGTAAAATTCCGTTTGACGGTAAGCGCTGAATTACCTACGCGGGGGTCAAAAGTTGACAAAAGTTTCTCAGAATCCGAATCGGGATGCTACTTGCGTAGCGTCGTTGAAAATCACTCAGACTGACACTTCGCAACAAGTCACCCGCTTACACGTTATTCACCTAATTTTTGCACCAGTTTGTAGGCACTCCCATTGCTACCTTTACCTGTTGCCCACCCTCGCTTAACCTGCACACAGCAGCATCTCGCGCGGAGGCTTCGCGCACAGCTCCTCGGCACGCAAACCAGCTCATCGCACTCCACCGCTGCCCTCGCCTACACTGCCTCAGACCCGCTCGCCCGTCTGTCCCGGGCGGGGGGGGTGGGGAGATGAACCTTCACCCGCCCGGCGACGCGTCGTGGTGCGTTGACAGCTTGAGCTGTGGCGGCGAAGCAACAGCGACCAACCCTGCTCCGCTCATGCACACCTTACGTCCTCCCCCGACAATTGTCCAAGACCTCCCCCGTGTCTCTTTTAGCCCCGCCAGGCCTGCGCCCGGATTCCCATTAACGGACCCTGGCGGTCTCCCTGGCAACACCTCCGGTGTCGGCGTCCACAACCGCTTGGCCCCCGAATTAGGTGGCGCTTTGTCCGTGCAGCCACGTGTCGCGCGCAACACGCGGCTGTTACTCCTCTACACTTGTGCTGCTGGTGGAATCCGATGAGCTGTAAAGCTCGTTATTAACGGATGCCTCCACGCAGACGCTCCCTCCTTCAGCAAACGGAAACCCCCATTCATCATCGTCGTCGTCGTCATTATCAACACATGCATATGCATAAATTGTTATAATCGTGGCTAACACGGTAACGCCGAGTCGTCATTTGGACGGAGGCCGACCGGCGCGGGCCGCGCTGTTTCCTCTGGGGCGCCGTCTGTCCCGAGTGGACTGCCTCCAACACTGCTGCGGCCACCACCGCCCCGGCCTGGGCCTGGCCTGGGCCTGGGCCTGGCCTGCTTAAGCGGAGGCAATTCTTTATTTCCCCGCGTGATTTCAACCGCGCCAGTCGCTCGCCCCGTGCACTTTACCGACAATAAAAAAAAAAGAGCGGAGCGGGGGCCGGTGGGGGGATGTTTGTCATCGCGATTATTGACACCACACCCCCCCCCCACCGTTTAAAACGTGTTTGGGTTGGGCTGATGATTGTGTAAACAAGTTTATATATCTATACTTTCCTCGTTCCAGTTCCTCACGAACCTAGGGGGCGACGCGTAGACCGTGGACTCGTTGGGTCGGAGGCGGCCAATGGCGCGGCGGGCGGGGGTGTTGGGGTTGGCGTCGAGCGGCAGCGCTGCGAACCCAGTTCACGAGCTGAGGTTCACGAGCTGAGGTTCACGAGCTGAGGTTCACGAGCTGAGGTTCACGAGCCCGGTTCACGGGCTGAGGTTCACGTGCTGAGGTTCACGAGCCCGGTTCACGAGCTGAGGTTCACGAGCTGAGGTTCACGAGCTGAGGTTCACGAGCCCGGTTCACAAGCTGAGGTTCACGAGCTGAGGTTCAGGAGCTGAGGTTCACGAGCTGAGGTTCACGAGCCCGGTTCATGTGCCGAGGTTCACGAGCTGAGGTTCACGAGCCCGGTTCACGAGCCCGGTTCACGAGCCCGGTTCACGGGCTGAGGTTCACGAGCTTGGTTCACGTGCTGAGGTTCACGTGCTGAGGTTCACGAGCTTGGTTCACGAACCCGGTTCACGTGCCGAGGTTGACGAGCCGAGGTTCACGAGCTGAGGTTCGCGTCCCGCTCGAGGCCACCAACACCTGTGGCGATTTCATCCGAGCCGGTGCTGGGCCTCCCCTGGGTCGACTCGGCCTCAAAGGAGTACCCGGCGCGGTGCGTCGTGAACGTCGCCACCGGGGAGACAAAGGCGGCCAGGCGTGTCGCTGGCCGCCCACCCCCCCTCGCGTGCCACCGTGCCGGCCTTCGTAGACGCTGCTGCTCTCTACTTTGTCTTTGTCGTGCTCCCCTCCACCACCCCCGACACGGCCTGCTAATAAAGTCGCCACCTGATTGATAGACGTGCCCCCGATATGTCCATCGCTGCATCAGCAGCACTCCGCCGGGAAACATTCGAGGGGAGAGCGATCCCCACGCCAGCTCGTCACTTTACAATCGCCGCCCACGTCGGGGCCCGTCCACTTCACGGTGTCAGACCGTGAAGTCGAAGAGCCCCGGGGTGGGTTTGGAGGGGGCGGCCCCCCAAAGCGAGGGGCCCGGGGCCGTCGCCCCCCGATTGTCCTTTACCCCCGAGGGACGGCGGGCTCTGTCGGCCGTCGCCTCGCGCCCTCCGACGTTACCGCGGTATCGGGAGAGCCCGGATAAAATGTTCTGATGAAGTGGACACGCGATGGACACGCGTGTCCGAAGTTCCGACCGCTTTAGCAGTGTCCCTCCACACTTGGTAATCGTCGTTTCGAGCTATTTGGCTACTGCTGAAAAATTTCCACGTGATGATGATGAAGCCACTCCGTTGAGCCGTCATCATCGTCATCATTTGTGATGGGCAGGGTCGCTTCTGGAAAAGGGTCACCTAGCAGCCCAGTCGTGGTGGTGGTGGTGGTGGGGCCTTGCCTGGTGAAATGTCAATTCACTTGCCTTGTCGGGTGCCAGGAGCGTGTACAGCACAGGCCATAGTCGCGCGGTGATCCCCCCGTAAATCCGTTGCGTGATCGATCTGGAAATGTTTGTTCTCTTAAGCGGTGCGTGGGAAAAGTTTTAAAGACGGTCGTGTGATGTAAGTTATTATAATTTTGATTTAAAGTTTTCGTGACTGCAGGGATCCATATTCTTGGTTCTTTCGGTAAAGTCACGTAGAAGGGAAACAATAAAATAATAAACATATAAAACAATTAAATTATCACGACGTTTCGAATGCAACACAAGCAAGCATCATCAGGTGTGAAAACCACAGCAAGAAAATTTGAAAAGAGTGGCGGGTTATTTTTAACGTTAGCACCACGGAGAGCGATTTGACAGTTTGTTCAGATGGACGAGTCCATCTATGTTCGGAAAAGAGGAGGGGGGAGACGAAAATAATGGATGCGGTCTGAAAGCCACCATAAGCGTGAACAATTAATTAAGACCCGAAATGGTTTATCAAATCCTTCCAATGATTGCTAAGCCAGAATCCATCTTCTCGGTTGAAATTGTCTCTGTGTTTGTATATGTGGATAGCCTCATGAACGAATCTCTCATGGTAGCCAGATGGCTTCCAAGACAGAGGTTCTTTGCAAGCCATCTGGCTACTATGAGAGATTCGTTCTTGAAGCTATCCACATATACAAACACAGAGACAATTTCAACCGAGAAGATTGATTCTGGCTTAGCAATCATTGGAAGAATTTGATAATCCATTTCGGGTCTTAATTGTTTTGTTCACGCTTACAGTGGCTTTCAGACCACATCCATTATTTTCGTCTCCCCCCTCTTTTCCAAACATAGATGGACTCGTCCATCTGAACAAACTGTCAAATCGCTCTCCGTGGTGCTAACGTAAAAAAAAACGCCACTTTTTCAAATTTTCTTGTTGTGGTTTTCACACCTGATGATTGCTTGTGTTGCAGTCGAAACGTTAGAATTTTATTATTTCATATACAGTGAGGGAAAAAAGTATTTGATCCCCTGATGATTTTGTACGTTTGCCCACTGACAAAGAAATGATCAGTCTATAATTTTAATGGTAGGTTTATTTGAACAGTGAGAGACAGAATAACAACAAAATCCAGACAAACACATGTAAAAAATGTTATAAATTGATTTGCATTTTAATGAGGGAAATAAGTATGTGACCCCTCTGCAAAACATGACTTAGTACTTGGTGGCAAAACCCTTGTTGGCAATCACAGAGTTCAGAGTTTTCGTGTAGTTGGCCACCAGGTTTGCACACATCTCAGGAGGGATTTTGTCCCACTCCTCTTTGCAGATCTTCTCCAAGTCATTAAGGTTTCGAGGCTGACGTTTGGAAACTCGAATAATCAGCTCCCTCCACAGATTTTCTATGGGATAAAGGTCTGGAGACTGGCTAGGCCACTCCAGGACCTTAATGTGCTTCTTCTTGAGCCACTCCTTTGTTGCCTTGGCCGTGTGTTTTGGGTCATTATCATGCTGGAATACCCATCCACGACCCATTTTCAATGCCCTGGCTGAGGGAAGGAGGTTCTCAGCCAAGATTTGACGGTACATGGCCCCGTTCCATCGTCCCTTTAATGCGGTGAAGTTGTCCTGTCCCCTTAGCAGAAAAAAACACCCCCAAAGCATAATGTTTCCACCTCCACGTTTGACGGTTGGGATGGTGTTCTTGGGGTCATAGGCAGCATTCCTCCTCCTCCAAACACGGCGAGTTGAGTTGATGCCAAAGAGCTCCATTTTGGTCTCATCTGACCACAACACTTTCACCCAGTTGTCCTCTGAATCATTCAGATGTTCATTGGCAAACTTCAGACGGGCATGTATATGTGCTTTTTTGAGTAGGGGGACCTTGCGGGTGCTGCAGAATTTCAGGCCTTCACGGCGTAGTGTGTTACCAATTGTTTTCTTGGTGACTATGGTCCCAGCTGCCTTGAGATCATTGACAAGATCCTCCCGTGTAGTTCTGGGCTGATTCCTCACCGTTCTCATGATCATTGCAACTCCACGAGGTCAGATCTTGCATGGAGCCCCAGGCCGAGGATGATTGACAGTTATTTTGTGTTTCTTCCATTTGCGAATAATCGTACCAACTGTTGCTGCTTGGCAATGGTCTTGTAGCCCATTCCAGCCTTGTGTAGGTCTACAATCTTGTCCCTGACATCTTTGAAGAGCTCTTTGGTCTTGGCCATGGTGGAGAGTTTGGAATCTGATTGATTGCTTGCTTCTGTGGACAGGTGTCTTTTATACAGGTAACAAGCTGAGATTAGGAGCACTCCCTTTAAGAGTGTGCTCCTAATCTCAGCTCGTTACGGGAGCCAGAAAACTTTCTGATTGAGAGGGGGTCAAATACTTATTTCCCTCATTAAAATGCAAATCAATTTATAACATTTTTGACATGCGTTTTTCTGGATTTTGTTGTTGTTATTCCGTCTCTCACTGTTCAAATAAACCTACCATTAAAATTATAGACTGATCATTTATTTGTCAGTGGGCAAACGTACAAAATCAGCAGGGGATCAAATACTTTTTTCCCTCACTGTATATATTTATTTTATTGTTTCCCTTCTACGTGACTTTACCGAAAGAACCAAGAATTATTATTTTAACTCAAGTGTTGTATTGAGTTCGGCATCAACAACAACAAGAACAACGACGTCATTCTCAATCCTGGTTCTCATCGTCATCAAGCATCGTCACGACTGGGATTTCAATGGGCAAGAACCGTTATACGCATCAGCATCACCATCATCATCATGATCATCAGCCTCCATCATAATCACCTTCACTGCCATCATCATCCATCAGTCATCACCATCATCATCCTGCATCATAATCACCTTCACTGTCATCCATCAATCAGCACCATCATCCTCATCGTGATCATCATAATCACCTTCACTGTCGTCATCATCCATCAATCATCATCCTCATCGTGATCATCATCAGCCTCCATCATCACCATCACCGGTAGTAGTGGACAAGCTGTTTGGTGACGCTGCTGCTGCTGCCGCGTTGTTGGCAGCGGCGGCTATGCTCCAGCACAACAACAACAACACGCGTCCCCCCGTCAATAACTACAAAACACTGCCCGACGTTTCGGGCAGCGGCCCTTGCTCATTTGCCCTGAAAACGTCGCCCGTGAGTTTTTGTTTTTGTTTCCCCCCGGTTCGTCTTCTCGCCATCTCGAGGCTCGCCAAAGTGCGTTGGCGACCGCGAGTTGCCAAGCCACAGGGGGAGAGCGAGATAAATGGAGACGGCGAGGAACGGCGATATTTTTTTATTTTTTTTTAATTCTCGAGTAGCTGGACTCGGGGACTAATGAAGCGCTGAATCGGATTCGGCGCTGGAAACCCGGACCCGGAACCCGGACTGGAACCCGGACCCGGAACCCGGACTGGAACCCAGGAACTCGTGCGCTGCCGGCCTCGGAGCCTCTGACCACCGAGCCCACCTCTGCCTCCCCGGCCACGTCTCGAGCCGGGGGGGTGGGGGGGGGGACGTGGATCGCTCTCCGTCACGACATCCCCTTGCTGTATCGTGGCCGGTGTGTGGGGGCGCCTGTGGTGGCTCTGAAATGTTGACTACCTCGCCTGGTTCGCAGGAGGTCGCGGGTTCGATCCCCGGCCCCGACCGACGCCTGTTGCACATTTGGAATCTGCGTGTCTCATCATCATCATAGTGGCGAGATGTGAACTTCCTCGCCTGGTATACAGGAGGCTGTGGGTTCAATCCCGCCCCCGACGACGCTTGTTTGTTATTTGGAATCTGCGTGTCTCATCATCATAGTGGCGAGATGTTAACTACCTCGCCTGGTATACAGGAGGCTGTGGGTTCAATCCCGACCCCGACGACGCCTGTTATTTGGAATCTGCGTGTCTCATCATCATCATCATCGTGGCGAGATGTTAACTACCTCGCCTGGTCGTGGGTTCGATCCCAACCCTGACGCTGCCTGTTGTATATTATGAGTTTGCGTGTCTCATCATCATCATCACAGTGGCGAGTTGTTAACTACTTCGCCTGGTGTGCAGGAGGTCGTGGGTTTGAGCCCCACACTGATACTGCCTGCTGTGTATTAGGAGTGTGGGTGTCTCATCATCACAGTGGCGAGTTGTTAACTACTTTGCCTGGTGTGCAGGAGGTCGTGGGTTTGAGCCCCACACTGACACTGCCTGATGTGTATTTGGAGTGTGGGTGTCTCATCATCATCATCAGAGTGGCGAGTTAACTACTTCGCCTGGTGTGCAGGAGGTCGTGGGTTTGAGCCCCACACTGATACTGCCTGCTGCTGTATATTAGGAGTGTGGGTGTCTCATCATCACCTTCATCACAGTGGCGAGTTGTTAACTACTTCGCCAGGTATGCAGGAGGTCGTGGGTTTGAGCCCCACACTGACACTGCCTGCTGCTGTATATTTGGAGTGTGGGTGTCTCATCATCATCATCACAGTGGCGAGTTGTTAACTACTTCGCCAGGTATGCAGTAGGTCGTGGGTTTTAGCCCCACACTGACACTGCCTGCTGCTGTGTATTTGGAGTGTGGGTGTCTCATCATCACCTTCATCACAGTGGCGAGTTGTTAACTACTTCGCCAGGTATGCAGGAGGTCGTGGGTTTGAGCCCCACACTGACACTGCCTGCTGCTGTGTATTTGGAGTGTGGGTGGATCTTCCTCTCTTTTCCCCGTGGTGGTCGCGTGGATTTTTCTCCGGACCCTCCGGTTCCCCCCCCTCCACGTTTAGAATCGGCATCACGCGTTTTAGAGTGTTTTGCAACTGCTAGAAATAGCCACACGGTAAAATGAAAAAAAATAGTTTAGATTACTGTTTCACGACGCAAACCGTGGAGTTTGTGCATTGAAAAAAACATCACAATTGTTGGTAAAAAGATGTTAAGTTCACATTTGGCATTAACTTAAAAAAAATCCACATTCATGTGGCAGTGGGGGATCATGCATTACACTTTTATTTCACCAGGTCAGGCCCACTACTTAGCTATGTAGCTCTTCTTCAAAAGTGATCTGGTTATCACAAACAATAGACCAACGAAGTGACTGATATCATCATCATCACCACGTGGAAATGTTTAGCAGCAGCCAAGTGCCTCAACGCCCTGACGCCGATTGTCAACGTGGAGGGGGAAACCCGGTGACAATTTTCACGCGACCCACACAGGGAGAGAGAGAGAGGCGCAAACTACAAATCTACAGCAGCAGCAGGCGTCAGGGTCGGGATCGAGCCCACGACCTCCTGCGTACCAGGCTAGGGATTCAACATCTCGTCACTGCGATTATTTTTGAGAGAACACGCAAACTACAAACATCGAGCAGCAGCAGGCGTCTGGGTCGGGATCGAACCCACGACCTCCTGCGTACCAGGCGAGGTAGTCAACATCTCCTAGGACACCCAGTTTATTGCCCTCTCACAAACTGGTAGGTATTTTATCCCCCCCCCCCCTCCCAAGCGACGATGATGATGATGACAATAAATGCTGACCGCGTGGGTGACCTCTGAGCGTGATTTGAGCTTGGCGGCATTCTAGTAGCGGTGAGTCCGCACGCGATTCGGCGTGTAGGTAACAGAGGTTTGCAGTGGGGTTGGTGGATCGTGCAAGGATTGCAGTGAGCCGCGAGTCTCTGGCGAAGGTTGATTCCCAGTCGAGGTGCAATGTACCGAGTGATTTATTTTATTTTTTTCATGCCATAGATCGATGTTCGTCGTGATTTGAACTTTGACCAAACAGGCGGCTCATGTTCTCTCTCTCTCTATTAAAGCCTTCTATTGATTTTGAATTCCTCTTGTGCATTGACTAATAAATTATCGTTATTCCTTTGCTTGTGGTGGTGATTGTTGATTGCGGTGCCGATATTCTGCTTCGCTGGTGGCGCTGCCACAAACACGGAAATGATGATCGCTTGTGTTGTGATCGAAACGTCGTCGTTTTTTTTGTTTGTCATTTTCTTTGAACCTAGCTACGTGACTTTACCGAAAGACCCAAAGAATTTGAATTCCTGCAGTCACGAAAGCCTTAAGTCAAGATTGAATCACTAACTATAAACTACTTTTTCATTTTACCAGGTAAAACCCACAGAACTAGGAGTTAATTTTTCAGAAGCGACCTGGCCTATCGCAAATGACCCGACCATACCGGACGTCCGTGGACAAAGAGCTTCACAGCTCATCGGATTGCTGCGCCTGCAGTCAAAATAAAGTTTTATCTGAGCTCGGCGAAGTTGGCTTGTTCTGTGACGTCATGTAACCAGGCACGCCCGAGCGCGGCCCAGCCCAACCGCTAGGATGACGTCACGATCAAAGACGTCATCTTTGGCGTCATGCGTCACCCCGCCCCCACCCCCAGGGCAGGAACTCCAGTGACGTCACCACCCCAACACCCCCCCCCCCCCGACTTCTGCGCCTCCCCCCCCCCCACCGCGTGTTTAGATTCCCCAGCGCGGATAGGCGCCAACCCCGTTAACCGATTGGCCTACCCCACCTTATGTCACGAGGCGCGCGCCTCGTCCAATGGGCGCAGAGCTATGTCGCGGATCCGAGCTAATTTTTCAAATCCCGCGCCGCCGCCGCCGCCATTGTCGCGTCCCCGCGTCTCCTCCACCTCATCGCCTCCTCCTCCTCTTCCTCCTCTTCTTCCCAGCGCCAGGTGACTCCTCCCGCTCCCCTTCGTGGCACGCTCGCGGTCTCACCACGGCCACAATGGCCGGTGTTGCACGGTCACCCTGCCTCCTCCCCTCCCCCCCCAACCGGGGCACGGGTTGGGAGGAGGGGGGGGGGGTAGAGGCGCCTCAAACCGGCGAGGAATCCAGGCGAGCCCGAGGCCCCGCTGGCGATGGGAGGCCGCAACGGGTTCGGCACGAGCGTGAGGGGGAATCTCTCGGCGCTTGCTCCCGTTTGGTGTGCGGAGTTGGCGGAGGAGTCGCTTGTCGTGTGCGTCGCAAAGCACGACTCGGCGTTGGAGCAACTCGGCTAACCCCCGTTTGTGTTGCGAGAGTGAGGAGCGTCTTGTCTCTGTGTGTCTGTGTGGGAGCGGTGGTGTAGCGGCGGGTCGCGCTACGCTGCGCTACGAACCCGGCGAGCCGAGTTCGTTCGCTCCCCGCTCACGGCCACCAACACCACCGGTGACGATTATCCGAACCGCTACCCGGGCCGGCCTCCCCTAGGTCGCCTCGGCCTCAAATGTGGTGCCCGGTGCGGTGCTGTAGTAAACATCGCCGCCGGGGAGACGAAAAGGCGGCCGGGCGTGGTGCTGGCCACCCACCCCGTCGTGTGCCCGGCCTTAATAGGCGCTCGCTAACGCCACTTGCCACAACTGTCTGCAGGCTGCAAGGGGCATCTTTGTCTTTGCCAAGTCGCTGGGCACAACGCGACGCGTGGCTCGGGCAGGAATCCCCCCCCCCCAGTGCCGCAGCTCGTCAGTCACGTCCGGTGGTGTCGGGACAGAATGAGAATCTTGATGTAGACCGCAGGAGGAGGAATCCGATGAGCTAAGAAGCTCTTTGTTCACAGACGTCCATGTAAAGGGTGGGTGGGGGGGGGCACCGGGAGTCGGTCGAGTTACAACAACGACAACAAACGATACGTCTATGGTGCAGTGTTGAGTCTATGGTGCAGTGTTGAGTCTATGGTGCAGTGTTGAGTCTATGGTGCAGTGTTGAGTCTATGGTGCAGTGTTGAGTCTATGGGGCAGTGTTGAGTCTATGGGGCAGTGTTGAGTCTATGGGGCAGTGTTGAGTCTATGGTGCAGTGTTGAGTCTATGGTGCAGTGTTGAGTCTATGGTACAGTGTTGAGTCTATGGGGCAGTGTTGAGTCTATGGGGCAGTGTTGAGTCTATGGTGCAGTGTTGAGTCTATGGTGCAGTGTTGAGTCTATGGTGCAGTGTTGAGTCTATGGTGCAGTGTTGAGTCTATGGGGCAGTGTTGAGTCTATGGTGCAGTGTTGAGTCTATGGGGCAGTGTTGAGTCTATGGTGCAGTGTTGAGTCTATGGTGCAGTGTTGAGTCTATGGGGCAGTGTTGAGTCTATGGGGCAGTGTTGAGTCTATGGTGCAGTGTTGAGTCTATGGGGCAGTGTTGAGTCTATGGTGCAGTGTTGAGTCTATGGGGGCAGTGTTGAGTCTATGGTGCAGTGTTGAGTCTATGGGGCAGTGTTGAGTCTATGGTGCAGTGTTGAGTATGGGGCAGTGTTGAGTCTATGGGGGCAGTGTTGAGTCTATGGTGCAGTGCTGAGTCTATGGGCTGCAGTGTTGAGTCTATGGTGCAGTGTTGAGTCTATGGTGCAGTGTTGAGTCTATGGTGCAGTGTTGAGTCTATGGTGCAGTGTTGAGTCTATGGGGCAGTGTTGAGTCTATGGTGCAGTGTTGAGTCTATGGGGCAGTGTTGAGTCTATGGTGCAGTGTTGAGTCTGTTGTGCAGTGTTGAGTCTATGGGCAGTGCTGAGTCTATGGACAGTGCTGAGTCTATGGGCTGTGTTGAGTCTATGGGTAGTGCTGAGTCTATGGGGAATGTTGAGTCTGGGCAGTGGTGAGTCTATGGACAGTGTTGAGTCTATGGGCTGTGTTGAGTCTATGGGTAATGCTGAGTCTATGGGTAGTGCTGAGTCTATGGGCAGTGCTGAGTCTATGGGCAGTGCTGAGTCTATGGGCAGTGGTGAGTCTATGGGGAATGTTGTATGTATGTTGAACTTTTTTCGCACCGCACATAGCCCAACCGTGCTTAAAGGAGGTGCAAAATATAAGTGCAAAATTGCTTGAGCACCTATAGTTCGGTGCTGTATTCCACCCAGAAACATTTGTTTTAGTGAGGCTGACTCTGCTGATGAGACCCAGACGGTGGAAACCGCTGCAAGAGAGAGTTGACTTCAAGCGAACGCCGCTGACGATGTGAATATTTATTTGCTGCTTGTCATCTGAACGATTCTGTCATCGCCCTTCATTATTCGGAATATGGTGGGCACATTCGTTCATCGATTCAACTCAACCCTTACGCCCTTGATGCACACACATTTTGTGCACTGTGCTGGAAGTGAATTTTCAGTAACATATGGTGTATGCCACGTTCACTTTTGCGATTATGCTAATGCCCCCTGAATGTCTTTGTGTAGAGACGGCAGTGCAACGGTCAGCGCGCTAAGCTACGAACCCGGCTGCCCAAGCTCGAATCCCGTTCACCGCCAACACCGGTGACAATTATTTGAATAGGTTCCGGACCTCCCCGCGGTCGACTTAGCCACAAAATGAGTACCCTGGTGTAGCGGCGTGTAGTAATCATCGTCACTGGGGAGACAAAGGCGGCCGGGCGTGGTGCTGGCCACCCACCCCCTCGTGTGCCACAGTGCCGGTAGCCTTCATAGGTGCTGCTCGCTAACAGCACTTGCCCCAGCAGTCTGTTAGAGGGTACACGGGGAATCATTGTCATTGTAGAGACAAAGGCAAGAATTGTACATCTTGGCCTGGTAGTGCACCTAGCCTGGCACAGGCGCCGTGGTGAAGTCACGATTGTTGTTGTTGTGGTCTCATTGTTCGGAGACCCCCCCCCCCAGAGAGACCATCTGTGCCATTTCTCTTCTTCCGCATGGCCGATGTAGACGCAAAGCAACAACTAGAATTGAACATTCTAAGCTAAACTATTAAACGAAACTATAGTTTAATCTTGATTTGATTTGAAGCTTTCGTGACTGCAGGAATCCATACACTAGCCCCGGCCACTTCTTTATGACCCCTTGGGCTACACCCATTTAAAACCTTTTAAAACAGTCTGCCTCAGCAGCAGGCCACGCTTTCCCACCTGATGGCGGACGCTTGTGTTGCGCCCGAAACGTCGCGATTGATTTTATTTTATACTTGCGTGACTTTACCGAAAGAACCAAAGAGTATATGAACTATATTTTATTTATTTTACGAGGTAAGGCCCACTCGGCTGCGATATCGTTCTTTTTCAGAAGCGACCATCAGAAATTATAGCTCAACGAAGTTGCTTATCATCATTAGGTGGACATTCATGGCAGTCGCCAAATGCTTACAATGCGCGACGTCGATTCTAAATGTGTAGGGAAAAACCGGAGGACCCGGAGAGAAATCCATGTGACCACGGGGGGAGAGAGAGAGAGACGCAAACTCCACATATACAGCATCAGCAGACGCCAGGGTCTGGATAGAACCCACGACCTCCTGCGTACCAGGCGAGGTAGTTAACATCTCCGAGCCACCGTGATTATGATGATGATGGAGAGAGAGAGAGACACGCCAATTCCAAATATACAGTAGCAAGCGTCGTCAGGGTCGGGTTAGAACCCATGACCTGCATTCCAGGCGGTGGGAGTAAACATCTCCTAACCACCGAGACCCAGGATACCGATGGTCGATGTTCGGTCGCTGCGTTGATCGAAATTCGTCGTGATCTCTCACTCTGCAAGAGTGTGCCGCGTGAAGGCTGCCATCGATCACTCCTCTGTGCCGCTGAACCTTAGACGGACGCCAGGATATGGCTGGTGTTCGAACTCGGATTATTGTCGGACTTTGTTCGGAGCCGTTAGCCGTGCAGTTAAACTGGTGACGTTAACCTGGGGGGGGTTTAATGGCCATGCCTGAGCCCGTGTGTCAGCCACCTGATTTTGAAGCCAACCCCAAAAACCTGTATTATGGATGGTAGCTATGTTATTGGTGATGGTGGTGGCGATGATGGTAGCTATATTTTGATTTAAAGCTTTCGTGACTGCAGGGATTCATATTCTTGGTTCTTTCAGTAAAGCTACGTAGAAAGGGAAACAATAAAATAATAAAAATATAAAACAATGCAATTATCACGATGTTTCGACTGCAACACAAGCAATCATCATCAGGTGTGAAAACCACAGCAAGAAAATAATAAAAAAAACCACAGCAAGAATATTTTCTTGCTGTGGTATTTTTTTTTTAATTATTTTATTGTTTCCCTTCTACGTGTCTTTACCAAAATAACCAAGAAGATGGTAGCTATGTTTGTGGTGATGGTGATGATGGTAGCTTTGTTAGTGGTGTGATGGTGGTGGTAATGATGGTAGCTATGTGAGTGGAGTGTGTACGTTGAACTTCTTTCGCACTGTACGTAGCCACCCGTGCTAGTCGGGAGTGCGGGGGCAAGGACAACAGCCCCTTCATGATCAGGCTGATCAGACGCCTTAAAGACAAGTGGGGTAATGTTGAGTCGGCCAACCTTGGACTCTGACTCACAGATCAATGATGAGTCCCCCCCTGTCTAGATAAACGAGCAGTTGCCCACTGATCAATATCCCGGAGTGGTTTGTGTCGACCTTCTTCGCCGTGTCTCGTGTCCATCCTGTGCGCGGGTCTTTTCCAAATATTCTGCACAGGCCACCGCCGCTCCTCTGCTGTTCGCATTGCCAGACATTGAGGAGTGCATTGTGGGTGCTGCAGGGCAGCTCAGGAGATGGTCCACGTGGCTTGCTTCGCCTGACAAGTACACATTGGTTGGTTGCGCGGAAGGCATTTGGAATTGGAGGCAGAGGCGAGCTCCTCACCGTGGTCGATTCCTCGCCGGCTCCATCCGCCAGCCGTGTCGCTCGATTTTTTTTTTTTTACCCCATTCCATTTTGCCAGAGGGGAAAATTCTGGCAGATTCCGGTGATGCCGTTGTGAGCGTTTACACATACGAAAAAATAAGAAGAGGTTTTACCCTTCCTGGCAATAAAAGGAATCGTGTCCTTGCACGATTCCTTGCAACACCTACTGTTTTATTGCCACAAAGGGTAAAACCTCTTCTTATTTTTCATACTTTGATGCTGGCAAAAAAGGTTCCCATGGTGGCTGGCTACACGGTGGAGCACAAGAAGCCGTTTGTCGACGAGAGACCGACGACGGAGGTGCTGGCTCATGGCCACGTAGCGGACGACCGCCGTCCCGCCCCATGGACTTGCCGGTGGTGGTCGTCACCACGCTTGGTGCAGTGACGGCGGCGCCCGTGGTCATCCAGCGGTGCGGATGCGAGGGTTGGTGGATCGCAAGAATCTTGTGAAGCTCCCTTCCCCCACCGTGGGTTGTCCTGGTGCAATACCCTGGCTCTCCAGGAGAATTCCTGTACAGGGACTCCTCTACTGATGAATGAGTTAGGTTCCAGAGGTCTGTGTCCATGAGTCATTTTGTTCGGAAGTCCAACTTTGCTCCTGTCGATTGCAAACGCGTTTTACGGCGTGTACACTAAACATGGGTAATGGTTTTAAAAGTTGTATAATCTCCTGTAGATGTAGATGCCACTGGTTTTTCACGTTCTGCAGATGTCGCTGGTTCTTTGTGTTCTGCAGATGTAGATGCCACTGGTTCTTCACGTTCTGCAGATGTAGATGCTGCTGGTTCTTTGTGTTCTGCAGATGTAGATGCCACTGGTTCTTCATGTTGTACAGATGTAGATACCACTGGTTCTTCACGTTCTGCAGATGTAGATGCCACTGGTTCTTCACGTTCTACAGATGTAGATGCCGCTGGTTCTTCACGTTCTGTAGATGCCACCGATTCTTCACGTTCTGCAGATGTAGATGACGCTGGTTCTTCACGTTCTGCAGATGTAGATGCTGCTGGTTCTTTGTGTTCTGCAGATGTAGATGCCACTGGTTCTTCATGTTGTACAGATGTAGATGCCGCTGGTTCTTCACGTTCTGTAGATGTAGATGCCACCGATTCTTCACGTTCTGCAGATGTAGATGCCGCTGGTTCTTCACGTTCTGCAGATGTAGATACCACTGATTCTTTGTGTTCTGCAGATGTAGATGCCACTGGTTCTTTGTGTTCTGCAGATGTAGATACCACTGGTTCTTCACGTTCTGTAGATGTAGATACCACTGGTTCTTTGTGTTCTGCAGATGTAGATGCCACTGGTTCTTCACGTTCTGCAGATGTAGATGCCACTGGTTCTTCATGTTCTACAGATGTAGATGCCACTGGTTCTTCACGTTCTGCAGATGTAGATGCCACTGGTTCTTCACGTTCTGCAGATGTAGATGCCGCTGGTTCTTCATGTTCTACAGATGTAGATACCACTGATTCTTCACGTTCTGCAGATGTTGATGCCACTGGTTCTTCATGTTCTACAGATGTAGATGCCACTGGTTCTTCACGTTCTGCAGATGTAGATGCTGCTGGTTCTTTGTGTTCTGCAGATGTAGATGCCACTGGTTCTTCATGTTGTACAGATGTAGATACCACTGGTTCTTCACGTTCTGCAGATGTAGATGCCACTGGTTCTTCACGTTCTACAGATGTAGATGCCGCTGGTTCTTCACGTACTGTAGATGTAGATGCCACCGATTCTTCACGTTCTGCAGATGTAGATGCCGCTGGTTCTTCACGTTCTGCAGATGTAGATGCTGCTGGTTCTTCACTTTCTGTAGATGTAGATACCACTGGTTCTTTGTGTTCTGCAGATGTAGATACCACTGGTTCTTCACGTTCTGTAGATGTAGATACCACTGGTTCTTTGTGTTCTGCAGATGTAGATGCCGCTGGTTCTTTGTGTTCTGCAGATGTAGATACCACTGGTTCTTCACGTTCTGTAGATGTAGATACCACTGGTTCTTTGTGTTCTGCAGATGTAGATGCCGCTGGTTCTTCACGTTCTGCAGATGTAGATGCCGCTGGTTCTTCACGTTCTACAGATGTAGATACCACTGATTCTTCACGTTCTACAGATGTAGATGCCACTGGTTCTTCACGTTCTACAGATGTAGATACCACTGATTCTTCATGTTCTACAGATGTAGATGCCACTGATTCTTCACTTTCTGTAGATATAGATACCACTGATTCTTCACGTTCTGCAGATGTAGATGCCACTGATTCTTCACGTTCTGCAGATGTAGATGCCGCTGGTTCTTCACGTTCTGCAGATGTAGATGCCACTGATTCTTCACGTTCTGCAGATGTGGATGCCGCTGGTTCTTCATGTTCTACAGATGTAGATACCACTGATTCTTCACGTTCTACAGATGTAGATGCCACTGGTTCTTCGTGTTCTACAGATGTAGATGCCACTGGTTCTTCACGTTCTGCAGATGTAGATGCCACTGGTTCTTCACGTTTTGCAGATGTAGATGCCACTGGTTCTTCATGTTCTACAGATGTAGATGCCACTGGTTCTTCACGTTCTGCAGATGTAGATGCCACTGGTTCTTCACGTTCTGCAGATGTAGAT